TTATTTTTTACCTCCCAACATAGGTGCCCTGACACCGCCTATGCATGACCAATACAATTTTAGTCGTTCTCTCATAAGAAAATTGTAACATAACAAGACCATTGCCACCTTTTTTAGAAACAGTACCAACAAAAACCTTATTTACTATAATTTTTGTGTACCCCCATTCTCAATGATCTGTATCCGCCTATGATTTTTGAAAATGCATATTTTTAGGATCCATGTGAATTCCTGGTTCATTCTCTATCGATCGGCAAAAGTTGCGTTAAGATTGGTTCAGAAACCTGGCCGTGATAAACAGTCTAAAATGTATCTGCAATTTGCCCGTTTTTACCCCCCTCTACCCCCCTATTGACATTTTTTAATTTTTTTTTTTTTTTAGAAATGTAGATCACGTTGAGCGAAATCGAATGCCGTTTGAATTTTGAAAATCGGCCCGTTAGATCTCGAGATATCAAGGGGGGGTCGTAAACAGCCCCCCCCCCCCGTGCCACTAATAGGGGTAGCCAGGAGCCTGCCACTAATAGGGTTAAATTTGCAACGATGTGATCAAAATGTGCGGTTGATCTTGACATTAACCCGCGCACCGACGGGGGGGGGCGGATATCCGCCCCCCCCCCCTGAGGTTTTTCGCGGATAGCGGGAAAATCGCGGCGCTACGCGCGAAATTTGGTACGACTATTCTCTCATCAATTTTACACATGGTGTGCAAGTTTGAACCTCCTAACTTTTAAGGTCAGGTCACCAGGTCACTTTGAATGACCCAACCTCGTCACTTTTTTGCAACTTTGTCACCGTGCCAGAGCTACAGTAGATGTCGGAGGCCTTTGAAAGTCGCAGGATGTTATTAGGTCATTAGTAGCTACGATTTGTATATCTCGGAATTTTGATGTCGGTGACCTAAGGTCAGGTCAACCGTCAATTTCTCGACCTCCCTATTATAAGTCAATGGGGGAAAAATCAACTCCCTGTTTTTACCACTAAAACGGGTCGGAATGGCCCCATATACCATACATAACTTCATATACGATCAACCTTCACTACCTTGAGGTCTGTTTTGCTGTTGGGCAACTGTAAGGTCATGTGACGTCATCAAAGGTCACCAAAGGTTTTTTGCCAATAACTCCGTACAGGAACAAGATACAGACGCGTGGATGGTCTCATTGTGCTCAGCTCGTCAAGACGCATCGAATGGTATACATGATGACCTCGAGGTCACGTGACCTGAGGTCAACCTTTGACCTTGACCTTTCGAGGTCAACATATATATCATTCGATGCGGATTGACGAGAGGATCACGATGATGCCCTTAGTTTGTTCCTATCTTGACTAATTCGAAAGTTATTCGAGAAAAACTCTCCCCATATCTAGCGCCGCCATTTTGACTTTTTCGACCCCTGTGACGTCATCTTTGACCTGACCTGAAAATGACCTTAGTGAAAATTGTAGACCTTGTCCGTGCGTATCCGATGCCGTTTACCGCTTGTCGCTATCATGCTTCGTTCTCGAGATCTCAGGGTCATCCGCCCCCCCCCCCCGTCGGTGCGAAGTTGGCGCAGACCCCCGTCGGTGCGCGGGTTAATATATTGCGAGTTAATAAATAGCTAATCCCATCGATCGTGAAGATAACTGTTCTAGCTGCGTACTCACCCCATCGATGCTCCTCGCTGGTGATTGGGCCCGTCTCCCACTGCTCTCTGTCTGTGACTGGCGGCCGGGCTCTGACGGTCTCCCACTGGTCTGTGTCTGTGACTGGCGGCCGGGCTCTGACGGCGGTCCGTCCCCCCGCCCGCAGAGGAAAAGTACGGTACGATGACGGCCGAGGAGTTCGAGAGTCACATGGAGACGCACCTGGTGGGCGCCCCGGACCCGGCCGACAGCGGCCTGCTGGCCATGACCGCCTCGCTGTCGGCGGCCGAGCCGGACGACAGGTGAGCTGCGCTGCTCCCCTCCCCCTGAGACCCGGTGAGCGCTGCTCCCCCTCCCACTGAGATCCGGTGAGCGCTGCTCCCCTCCCCCCCCGGGGCCGGGGCCGGACGGCAGTTGAGTGCTGCCGTCCAAACGCGCCGCCCCGACACCATCTGGTTTGTTACTGTCGGCCTGTGTCCGTTTACCGTCTGTGAGCAGTGCCAAGGTGCGACGACCACTGTTCGTTGGGTACAACATCCCGGTGTTGTATTGTATCCTATCCATCCGTGTCGTGCGGTGTGTTTCCGTGTGAGTGGTACACTTTGCGTTATTTGTGTGTGGGTGGTGCAATTGTGTGCGTTTATATCCGTGTGAGCTGCGTACTGTGTGCGTTATATCCGTGTGAGTGGTACACTGTGCGTTATTTGTGTGTGAGCGGTGCACTGTGTGTGTTTATATCCGTGCGAGCGGTGCACTGTGTGTGTTTATATCCGTGCGAGCGGTGCACTGTGTGCGTTATATCCGTGTGAGCGGTGCACTGTGTGTGTTTATATCCGTGTGAGCGGTGCACTGTGTGTGTTTATATCCGTGTGAGCGGTGCACTGAGCCGGTGTGCTCCCGGCGGACAGCGGCGGCCCCCAGGAGGCGCCGCTCGACCACCGGCCGCCCGTGATGACGGCCAAGGCGGAGCGCCGGCTGCGTCAGCGGGTAGGCTCCGAGGACGAGCAGCAGCAGATGTCGCCGGCCGAGTGGCGCGCCCTGCAGGCCGAGAAACGCGCCGCCTGGCGCCAGGCGCGACTCAAATCGCTCGAACAGGTACGGACCCGCTCCCCCCCCCCCCCCCCCTCCCACACTGGACCCTGCACTTTGAACGTGATCCGACTGTAATGGAGCCGCTTAAACAAAATGCAGCCGGTCAATGCCGCGGAACACTTGTTTCAGTCTGACTCGTTAGTCGGCGCTCAACTTTCGGAGAGCCTAATGCGCCGGTTCGGGCGTTGGTGGCGAGCGATCGGTGGCCGCGGTATCGACTGGTCCGCCCGGCCGGCCCGGGCGAGCGCACCGTTCTGTTAGTGTTAAGCGATCTCTGCCGGTTCCAGGACGCTCTGCAGGCGCAGATCGTCATTAGAAAGATGAGCGAGCTGACAGAGAGTCCCGAACAGGCCGAGCGGCAGGGGGGCCCGGTGGACGACGACAACAACCCGCTGGTGTCGGCGGGCTCCGTCCAACAGGTCAGCCAGCCGCCCCTCAGATCACTCCGTTTCCATGTCTACACGTCAAACCAGATTTAACGATTTTCATGTTTCCAGAATTTCATGTGCGTTTTTATCGGATGCTATTCAGTATTCACCGTATGCAACAAAAACAAAAAATAAATAAATAAATAAATAAATAAATAAACGTATATATGGCTTTAGCTAGCACCGAATCCCATATTTACAATTTTAAATGTCTAAATGATATGATGGAGAAAAACCATCTTCCCAAATCGGCTTATTTTGTGCCATGGAAACGTGGAAGTGTTTTGTCGTGATAGTTGAACTTGACACCTTCATGATCGTTGTGTGTCATGCATCGTCTGAGATGTATCTCCCTATCAACTTTCCTACCGTGCGCCTCTCAAATCCCGTTTCCGAACGAGGTTTAGGAGGCATTTTGATTTGAACGAGGTTTGAACGGCCGGTCCTTTCGAGCGTCATTTCGGATGCACAGGTGTGTTAACTATCGGTGGACAGATAGGTGACAGCCTCTGACGGTGCCGTTACAGCACTCCGCGGCGGCGGGCGGCGCGGACAACAACGAGAACCCCGAGCGGCGGAGCAGGCAGCTGTCGTAGCGCACCGCGGCCGGCTCGTGTCGCGGCGATCCGAGGGGCTCCGCTCCCTCACACCATGTAATAAGGGACCAGACGAACAATCTTCCAAATATACATTCGGCGCGCTAGCAGCTGTTTTCGCGAGCTCCGCCAGCCCCGTGTGTGGACCCATGTTTCAGCGGCCGCCGAATCCACTGCCGGTTTCACTCAGAATCACAGTCGTTCGCACCCCGGGGCGCCAGCCGCACGGCGCGATTTGCTCTAATTTCATAAACATTGCTCTGCGTATTGTGTGCCGAATGAGGCCGTTGCCATTCATAGTGCCAGGAGGTAATGAGGTCGTGCGGATGCGGCGCCGTCGGCAGTATCGCCGCTTCTCTGTATCAGATGACACCCGGACTGCCGGAGCGACGCACGGAGCAGACGAACGGGGAGGGTTGCAGGTGCCTCAGCGCAGCCGGAGGACAGAGTCACGGCCCGAGCTTACCGGCCGCGGTGACTCCAGACGGAGCGAGACGATAGTCAACGAAATAATATCGTCAGGCGGATGTCCCATTTAATACTACTCGTGATGATGATTTGGTGTTTTAGGGCGCACCAGCAACGAGGCTATATGGCGCCCAAGTAATACTACTCGTCATAACTCAGTACGTCAAATACTTAGGTAACGAGAACAGGTCCCAGCTGAAGCTAACTAGGAGAAAAAGTGGGCAACTGTTGGACCGTGGAATTTTTAACAACCTGCAGTGCAGTGTGCACTGTGCAGGCTGCACAGGCGCCCTGTCGAGATGTTTCGTGTCTCGAGATGATTCGTGTACGTGTCTCGTACACGGCTAGAGCTCGTTGGCGGGAGCTCGACACTAGTCAACTTGTGCGTCAAGTTTGCAGGAAACCAGTCAATATTTGGCCTGACCAGTGAAGGAACGTTGCAAATTGCACTTTTTGATACAGTAACTTACGCTGAGCTAACGTTTTCGTAAGGTAAAGGCCAGATGCCCGCCCAACACTCCGTGGGGAAAATGTCCACCGGTTACCGAGTTGACAAAATACAGTTGCAGTAGTAGGGAGAGCACGGGTTGGGCCCCCTCGGCGCTCGTTATTTGCTGGCGCTTCCCAAGGGGATGGTTCGTGACGAGCGACAGTTTTAACGCTTTGGGTTGCCTTTTTACACTCTTCACTTTTTGAGAAATCGGACAAAATCGATGGCAGCTCAAACGCCATCAACCCTCGTCGGCTATCAGTTGGTGGTAACTGGTACATATGTAAAACAATCGAACTGAATAAATCGTATATTACTGTTTCATATTCAACAAAGGAACGTTCAGGAATGTTCTTGTTTCTCCTCCATTCTCTCTCATATAACCAGACGGCACTACAGGAAGAGGGAGTCCTCGGACCTACTCGTTGCACCATGGCTCTGCGTCGGAAGCTATCTGGAAGATGGGGGTGGGGTCTGCCCGTGTGATAAGGTACGAGTCGAACAGTGGCTACTCGCTGACAACAACTGGGTGCCGGCGCGGCCCGCCGAGCGCGCTGACGGCAGGGGTGGGGCGGCGCCATCACGAGCGCCGGCCGGCGGCTGACGCCGGCAGTAACAGCAGCAGCACTGACAGCAGCAGTGACAGCGGCAGGGGCGCCGCGGACGCGCCGGCGGCACCCGTCTGGTGCGGCGGTCCCTCGGTGGCTCGGTCCGCCGGCGCGCCGTCACCTGACACACAAACACGGCACGTCAACAAACAGTACACAGCGCGTCAACGAGCACAGCACAACACGTCAGCAAACAGCACAGCACGTCAACAAACAACGCAACACGTCAACAAAAAACACAGCACGTCAACAAGCAGGACAGCACACCGGCAAACACAGTACAACACGTCTCATCTCTCTCTCATCTCATATATTTAACACATTCATTCGAAACAGACAATCAGTGTCGCCTCGATTGGCGCAAAAGTGCCGGAGCACTTAACTCGGGGCGCCTCTCGAGTCCGCACAATCACACTGGGTGCCGCCCACAGCCTCGCAGCCGCTGCCCGCCACCGCGCAGACCGCTCTCAATAGATGTCAAGGCGCCGGCGCCGAGGGCAGCGCTCTGTGACGACCGGTGTCAAAGGACTGGGCGTTAGGGATAGGTGGCAGGATGGGAAGGAGAGGCAAAACGTTTGGTGGCATGGATGAATTGGTACACCGCTCGTGCTACCTCGAATTCGTCCCTGGGTCGTACCGTATTACCGTGTAGTATGAAGTCTAGTTGTTCCTTTTGTGATAAATTGTGTATGTCAATGCCTGTTATACCATTTATTATGTTTGTCATTCTCTCTCTTTCTTGTGTGTACTTTGGACATTTTAGTAAGTAATGTCCTGTGTTCTCGTTAGTTCTGCCTTGACAGTGGTTGCAATATGGAGATTCAGTTTTTTGTATTTGAAATAAATGGGATTTTAACTCTGACATCCCAACCCTTAGACGTGTTAGAAGTGTATTTTCCATTTTCGAACCATAAATATAATACTTTGGTGGTTTTTCTATATGTAAGTGAGACTTGAGATGTTTTTTAAATGAGAATAAAGTTCTAGTCTCTCTCAAGTTCTGTGGCAGTTCATTTATTAGTTTAATTGTACTGGGAAGAAACGAGTTTTTCAGTAGACAGGTTTTGGGATATATTTCCCTTCTGTTATTAGAGTTGCGAAGAAGTCGGTTGTTATTTCTTCGATCAGGGGGCAATAGTTGTTTGATATATGTTGGAGTATCGTCGAGCGTCAGTCGTTGGAAAAATACTATCTTATGCATTTCACGTCTCTTCTTTAATGAAGTCCATCCTAGTTCTCGTCTGAGATTGTCTGTCGGAGTTCTAAATAATGTCGCAGTCACAAGTCTGGCCCCTCTGTTCTGAAGTGTTTCAAGTCGTAAAGTATCGTGTGCTGTTAGCAGTCCGTCGTAAATGATGTCCGCGTAGTCAAAATATGGCAATACATGTGTCGTATATATTTGTTGCAATAAGGTCCTGGGCAAGTAGGAAGCGATACGATAGAGTGGGCTAAGGGCAATGTTAACTTTTCTGATGATGTCGTTGATGTGCTCGTGAAACCTAAGGTCGTTCGAAATTGTCAATCCCAGGTGTTTATGATTAGCAACAACTGGGATGGGCATGGCTGCAAATGTTAGTTTTGGTGGGATTTTCTGTTTGCGTTTTGTGAAATGCTGTTGGAGAGTTTTCCTTGGGTTAAATTGTATCATCCAGTTGTCACCGTACTTGTGGATTTCATTTAGATCTCTTTGAAGTGAGCTTTCAACTGTTTCTCTATTATTAGGAGAGTGTGGGGCTATCAGACAAGCATCGTCGGCGAAGAATAGCATTTCATTTTCGGTTTTTGTTGAAAGGTTATTTAAGTACATTAACGCTAAAAGGGGGCCCAAAACTGAACCCTGAGGGCATCCCGCTTGAAGTGGTCGGAGCGAAGATGTGGAATTGTTTATTACTACGCGTTGATGTCGATTTGTTAAGTATGAAGTTAGCCATGGTATAAGGTTTGCGGCCACTGGCGGATCCAGGCTTGCGTTTTGGGGGGGGGGCCAACTCATGCTGGAGCCAAACCTAGGGTACCCCCAAATCCTGTTTTCTCATCGGATTTAGGCCACTTATTTTTCGTCACAGCCCCGACTTTATGATTTTTTTTTAACTAGAAAGAAAAATATATAAATGGTAGCCCACCCGACCCATGCCTTTATATTACTTTGTAAGCACTTACCATTGCTTTTGTCGACCAGTTAGCCCGCTTCGAGTCAGTGCTTGGGTCCCTTTGCGGGCCGGGAGGTGGTAAAACACCCCCTGTCTAACTCGGCTCCTAGGCCACGCACTGATTGAACTATGTTTCATTATCGTTTGGGGGAGGGGGCAAACGGGCCACTTTAGACCTCTGGGAAGGTGGCATGGCCCTAAATGCCCCCTCCCTGGATCCGCCAGTGTAAGAGACCATTGGAGCTGCAGTTGGGTACCTCAGACGTCAGGGTACGCCCTCAGATGTATAGGACTCGCATGGAGACCTCTTATGCTATAGTGGACTGAAAGGACCCAAAGGAGCCTGTCAAGGGCTCCGGAGATAGACGTGGGCCCTCAGGAGCCCGCCAGAGCCCCCAATAAGGGATAAGTGAGGCATACCAAGTGCCTGCAATTGCATATTGCATAAGCCATAACGCCTTTACAAATCAATATATTATGTATCAGTGGCAGATCCAAGGGGGGCCACATGGGTCATGACTCATGACCCCCCTTGGTGCCCGGGGGCACCACAGGCGTGTCAGGGGCACCACCGGCCTAGCAGGGGCACCACCAGCCCGCCAGGGGCACCACAGGCCTAGCAAGTAGCAAGGGCACCACGGGCCTGTGAGGGGTCCCACAGGCTTGTCAGGGGCACCCCAGGTCTGTCAGGGACACCAGAGACCTGCCAGGGGCGCCGCCGGCCTCGCAGGGGCACCATGGGCCTGTCAAAGGGGCACCAGAGACCTAGTAGGGATACCACAGGCCTTACAGGGGCACCACCGGCCTTACAGGGGCACCGTGGGCCTGTTAGGGGCATCACAGTCCTGTCAGGGCCCAGGGGTACCAGCGGCCTAGCAGGGGCGCCACAGGCCTGCCAGGGGTACCACCGGTCTAGCAGGGGCACCACCGGCCTCGCAGGGGCACCATGGGCTTGTCAGGGGCCCCACCGGCCTCGCAGTGGCACCACCGCCCTCGCAGGGGCACCACCGGCCTCGCAGGCATCACGGCATCACGCAGGCCCTTGGGCCTGTCGGGGGCATCACGGGCCTGTTGGGGGCACTTAAGGCTTGTCAGGGGCACCACAGTCCTGTCAGGTCCCAGGGGCATCAGCAGCCTAGCAGGGGCACCCTAGGCCCGCCAGAGGCACCACAGGCCTGCCAGGGTCCAGGGGCACCACAGGCCTAGCAAGGGCACCACGGGCCTGTCAGGGGCACCTCAGGCTCCCGTGCTACCCCCCCCCCCCCCGGATCCGCCAGTGATGCCACACCACGCGAAACACCGCCAACTACCAGCTGCCGCGCCATAAACACGTGCCAACAACAGTCTTTTTTTGAAGGTCGACTCCGCTCGCGCAACTTTTGACTGACCCTCACTGCTACCATATTGCTTCCATATTATACTGTGGAAACTTTACTTCACCAAGTGGCTAAAAACCTCCATCAAGGTATATTTTCTTAGAAATTTTTTTTTTCTGACGTTTTGGGGGGGGCCAAACAGGCCACTTTAGGCCTTTGGGGGGGCCATGGCCCCCGTGGCCCCCCCTGGATCCGCCAGTGGGTTTGCCAGACCGAATTCATGTTCACATTTGTGGAGAAGGCCCTTGTGCCAAATTTTCTCGAAATAGCGGCTGATGTCCAGATAGATAATGTTATGGTCCTTCCCGTCGTCAAGGTTTTCATATAACGAATGGGTTAAGTAGAAAAGCTGCAACTGGGTCCCATGTCCGGGCCGGTAACCGCTTTGCCGCTCCGTTAGTAGGTTGTGTTCAGTTATGTGGTTGTAAATACGCTTGAATACTATTTTTTCAAATATTTTCGAGATGCAGCTTAATAAACTGATGGGCCTGTACCCTTCTACATCTGCTGGACTACCTTTGTTTTTAAAAATTGGTTTCACGTTTGCAATTTTCCAGCTCTTTGGGTACTGGCTTGTGTCGATAGACTTATTGAACAGTTTTGAAAGTGGTTCAGCGAGAATAACTGCCGCTAACTTTATTATTCTTACTGGTACCTCATCGGAACCGGTTGATTTATTTACATTTAATCTATTTATTATACTTAATACTTCTCGTTCTGATATTTTGGCCGCCCTTAATAATGGGACTTCTGGATAGTCCTGTGGCTGAATCACTATCGTTTCGCTGTCTTCAAGATGTGATTGGGCGGCAAAATATGCATTTAATAAATCAGCTTTCGCCTCATCATGTTCTATTAACCCGCGCCCGGCTGGGGGTCCTGGATTTCCACGCCCTGCTGGGGGGGGGGTGTTTGAACACCCCCCCTTGTAACTCGGCTCCTGGGCCACGTAGAGATACGCGGAAGGCGGCGTTCGAAAGAGCGTCAAAAATAATGACGAAATCACTTCGGTCAATTTTTTGGTCAGGTCAAAGGTCAGGTCACCAGAGGTCATTGAAGGCAAAATTTCGCCGATTTCCAGGTCGAATGTCGAAAATTTCCAAGAAGCCAATGCATAACTCGAGAACCAATAGAGCTACAGCGCCGCGGAAAAGCGCATTCGATAGCCCTATTAAAGCCCTTTCTGAGTAATTCTCTCAGATTTGACCTAACGTCAACGGTTTTGCCTGCAGGGGGCAAAAATTGCAAAAATAGCCGATTTTTTCGAAAACAGTTTTTCTGCAATAACTTTTGACCCAAGCCTTGTACGAGCTTACTTTTACCGGCATTGTGTTCCTCTCGTCAAGACGCATCGAATGAACTATAAGTTGACCTTGAAAGGTCAACTTGAAAATTTGACCTCAGGTCAAGGTCATGACCTGACCGGAAAGGGTCATGTTGCATATCAGTCGATCCGTATCGTCGAGCTGAACACATCTAAGGCATTTTCATCGCTCTAGCATGCCTCTATCAAAAGTTATTTGCGAAAAACTGTTAGATACCATTCGTGACCTAAGATGACCTCAGGGCATAAACAAGGGTCACGGACACCATTT